CTGAAGTCTCGACTAAAGGTCTTCAGACCCTCTCAATCTGAGTCTCTAGCGGGCGACTAACCTCCACCGGAGTAAACAGATTGAGGCCTTAACAAACAAAACCTCCACTACCGGAGTAAATCCGGTACAGAATAGTGAGTTGGCTCCTCGACTAAAGTCACCAACTCCCTACCTTCAATCAAGGATACTCTATTAACCTAGGCAGATATTCTCATTCTAGGTTAAAGCAGAAACAACAGGAATTTGATCAGGATTCAAGTCATTCAATCATTAAAACCTCAATCGAATATAATCAATCATATCAATCATAGAATCAGTACTTGGGTTCATACAATCAAACCTAACATACAAATCTAGGGTTCTCCATACCCAGATGAATGGGAGAACTACTCCATGGAGAAGAAAGCAAACGCAGAATCAGACACGAAATTCATACTGCGAAGGATGGATTCCTGCTTCTGGACGTTGATTGGCACTTCTCCAAGCTCAAGCTGGCCTCCAATGGTGTTGAAGATCAATCTAGGGCACTTGGGAACTCTTGCTCGTCACTTTCTCTCTCTAGGAATCGTTCTATCTCTCAAAAACTCCAATCCCCTTGAATTGTGACTGAAAATCTGCTTAATAGCATCAGTGGCCAAAGCACGGTCGAGGGCACGGCCGTGCTTTGCCTGAGCCTGCCCGTGTCTCGGCCAAGGTTAATTACACGGCCGGCAGTTGGGAGGAAACACGGCCGTGCTTCGCGTTGGACACGGCCGTGCTTTGGTGGAACACGGCCGTGCTTTGGTGCCCGTGTTTGCAACTGAAATTGCCAAACCGAATTTGCTCTCGGCATAAAAAGCACGGCCACAGGAACACGGCCGTGTAATGCCTTAGGCTGCCCGTGTTTTGGCTCCAGCTCACCGAAATGACTTCCGAATGCCCCGAAACTCGCGCTTAGCCTTCCCTTTGACACCTGGGACCTGAAACATGACAAAATAGCACAACCCGGCGTAAAATAGGCCAAAACACACGACTATGCCCCTCAAACGGATAAGAACTAGGGGCGCAAACATGTGCAATTACATCGTTATCAGTCCACCTGATGAACCATTGCTAGTGATATCATCATATACAATTAGAGTCCAATAATAATAGATATGTTTGCTTGTAAGAGATTCAAAATTAGTATAAATGCTGCAAGCATTGATGACAAGTTTCTCGGAAAGTGGTCGACCACTTGAAGATAAGTACGTCATCAGGTCGACCCGTTTTCGAAAATGATAGACCCGTTGATTCAAGTGGTAGACCACTTGATTGAAGAGATCGGTCATTTTTTTAGAAAGTGATCGACCACTTAATAGAAAAGATCAACCATTTTCTCCAACTTACAATAACTTACAAGTCACCGTAGACCATGGTTGTCAAACCGGTTTCATGCCGGCCAGTTCAACCGGTACCGGTCAACAAACCGGCTGGAAAGGGGCCGGTATTTAACTGTGGTCAAATCCGGTCAATGCCGGTCAGATCCGGTCAAATCCGGAAATTCCGGCCGGTTAGACCAGAAACCGGAATTTAATGTTACACACATTATATCCAAAAATAAACATCAGGTCGACCCATTTTCGAAAATGATAGACCCGTTGATTCAAGTGGTAGACCATTTGATAGAAAAGATCGGTCATTTTTTTAGAAAGTGATCGACCACTTAATAGAAAAGATCAACCATTTTTTTCCAACTTACAATAACTTACAAGTCACCGTAGACCATGGTTGTCAAACCGGTTTCATGCCGGCCGGTTCAACCGGTACCGATCAGCAAACCGGCTGGAAAGGGACCGGTATTTAACTGTGGTCAGATCCGGTCAAATCCGGAAATTCCGGCCGGTTAGACCAGAAACCGGAATTTAATGTTACACACATTATATGCAAAAATAAACATCTTCCATAGGATTTGAACCAAGGACCTCTTGTTCATTCTATATTAACCTTATATGTTATATATCTAATACTAAATTTTACACAAATCATTATAAACATTAATAAAATTTATTTAATAAAATTTTATTTTTAAGCATCTAATTGTTTAGTATTAGTTACCAATTCTTAGCTATAAATTATTTTGTGTGAAATTATTCTTCTAATTGCTTTTTTATGACTAATTTATTTGGAATTGAGAATTTTCATTTTCCTTATGTATTTTATTTAAACCGGCACAACCGGCATGAATACTGGTTGTACTACGATCAGACCATTCCACTTACAAAACCGACACACCGACACAAACCGGTTTGACAACCTTGCCGTAAACATACCTCATATTATATTTCTTGCTAAAACAGTTTCTTAGAAATTAACAATGCGTCACTCTCAATGAACAGATGAAGATTGCAGTCTGGCAGAGAGCATCTCGAAATGATTGAGACAGAAATTGGAAATTGGAAATTGCAAATACGGACTAATTGGACCAGGAAGCTCCATCCGATAAAGAACGGCATCTCGGATTCTCCAACATGTTATCCATTCCACTACGGCACCTTTGGAAGTAGTTGTCGTGTAATTGACGGGGGGATACACATGTATGTAGCTAGCTAGTGTTTTGTTTTGGGCTTTCCTTTCCGTGACAGGTGAGTCTTGTTTTGTGTTATTGTTGGAATAGCTTCGTCTCAGAATATGGTTACCACTGTTTCACATAACTCATACATGTGGTTATTACTGTTTCATCGTGATTACAACTTTTGGGTTGGGTTACTATATTTGTTATTTAGTGGTTGGATATATAGTATTACTCTTGTATAATGAAAACAATTGGCAAAGAAGACTGTTGGAGTTAAATTTATCAAAGTCGGTTTTTAGTGAAGTTACTACCTAAGCTATCAATTTGGTTAACCAATCCATTAATTAGTATGAAAAATTCAAAACCAAATCAGGTAGATTTGAAAAAAATCAAAACCACAATTGTTAAGGGCATAATTGGTTTTCGATGAACCAATAGTTGATAAGACTCTTGACGATTTTGGTTTAGTTTCCTAAAAAATAAAAAAATAAAAATCAAACTCATAGTTTGGGAAGTTAAAAATTTGAGTAATAAAAGATCACAACAAGAAGTATGATGGAAAGAATTCTACTACATATAGGTTGATGCCAATATGTGTTGTTAATGGGTATTTACTTTGTTAGAGTGTTATCCGTTTCTTATCTATTTTCTATTTAAACCTAAACGAACACCCATTGAAATGTAGAACTGTTTAAATAAAAAACCAAAACCTTTACCCTTCTTATTGATTTGGTTTCGGTCAAAACCAAAAGATCAAATCCAAACTAGACCGTTTTATTACTACGCATATATGTCTTATGTTGAACATGAATTTGATAGATCGATGGGTATGTACACGATCGGATATCGACTTGTTATGAAGACTGACATGTAACTAGAAGAAAAATATATGTGCGATCTAATAATAATAAAACGTACAAAACCTAACTTAAGAAAGTGTTTACAACGGACTAACTATTTAATCAATAAACTAAATGCTTTCCAAATTCTGTTAAGAATGTATGGTCACTTATAGAAATGTGCAGCAGTTCAATCCATATCGGATCACAGCAGAAACCGACATTTGGACTGGATCGAACCATATATAATTTTATATAATGTGATCTAGCTCTTGGTTTCGTGAATTTATTTATATTAAAAAAACAGACCAGATTAGACCGAATTAAAATGTTGGTCCAATTCTTAGTACTAACATATCTTTCACTATTTGACCACAATTCTTATTAGTTTGATGTAGTCCGAACCACACTGTCACACACCCCTAATCATTTATAATACAAGAAAACATTAATTGAAATCAGATCAATACATTACAAAGTAATTCCCCGGGAGAAAATAATTACCGAGCTCTCTTAACTTTCTTAAAAAACAACCATGAAACTCTCTATGTCGCACACAAAGAAAACCTCATTAATATCCTTCTTTATCGAATTAACTTTAAAAAAAGTTATAAGATTTTAGTATGAACATTTAAACGTTCGGATATTGACATCAAATGTTGCATTTTGTTTATAATGTAGTATCTTATTTAAAATATGGATGAAGATATATGTAGAGGGTGTCGGTTCATTTGATTTGGTATATGTATGACAATTTTGACCAGACCTTATTGATCCGACCTGTTTGACCTGTTTTGGGGCGTGTCCGACCCGTCCTGTAGGCAGGTCGGGGCGCGCATGGGTACTCTCATCGACCCGACCTGCCCTGACTCGCCCCATTCTCGACCTGTTCTTGCCTAAATTACCTGTAATATTAGTCAAATTACATAGAATTTTCCTTTAATTACATCATATTTTAGCTATAATAAAGTAGTAAATTAGTGAAAACCTAAATTTCTCCAATAATTTTACTACATTTATCATATTATGGTTTGTTTCTTGGTCTTACAATGAAAATAATGAATATTTCTAATATTTTCCATATAAATTACATTACTCATTGGGTCTACCTGCCCCAACCCGCGCCCCACGATAAATTACTTGACTTGGACACGACCTGCCACAACGCGGGTATGGATATCGAGATACCCGTCTCGGACCTTCCCCGTTGCCATTCTTACCTGCACCTCTCACCTAATGTTTTGGTTTCCCGAGCGTTTTTTATTGTTTAAACCGAAACCAATATTGTGCAAACCGATTGGGGATAAACAAACCGAAACCAATATCCCGACCCTAATTATAGGTAGATGGTCTTAAAATCGAGTATATAAATGCATGCGCACTTCATTTGTTGTTAATCGTGTTTCTTACTTGCTCATATGTTTTGTTACAAACCAACATAAACTGACATATGTACTGATATTGACTGACGAAGAAGCATACCACTTGCTAAATAGACTTACCTCCAATCCAACCGTCAATTAACATCCGGCATGGGTGCTGGTCCAGCAGTGAACAATTCCCATAATTTCCGAGCTCTCTTATTATCCTCCTCTTATAAAACAAACTCAATTGATGAAATCTCTCTCACTCATACAGAGGCACAAAAATTCATTAATCCTTCCTCCGCCATGGAAATTTCCTACCTCCTCTATTTCCTCCTCTTCCTCCTCTCCTTCCCGCTGGCCAAACACTTCATCTTCAAACCCAGGACACTCCCGCTTCCACCGTCCCCCGCCTTCCCACTGCCAATCCTCGGCCACCTCCACCTCCTCCGCAAACCTCTCCACAGAACCCTCGCCACCCTCTCCGCCAAACACGGCGGCGGCGCCGCCCTCCTCCGCTTCGGCTCCCGCCGCGTGCTCCACGTGTCCTCCCCTTCCCTCGCCGAGGAATGCTTCACCAAAAACGACGTCGCATTCGCAAACCGCCCCGGTCTGCTCGCCGGGAAGCACCTCGGCTACAACTTCACCACCCTCGTGTGGGCCCCTTACGGCCACCACTGGCGCAACCTCAGGCGCGTGGCCACAATCGAGATCCTCTCCTCCACCCGCATCCACATGCTCCAACAAATCCGCGTCGACGAGACGCGCGCCACGCTCCGGAGGCTCTTCGAGAAATCCATCTCCGGCGCCGCCGTCGTGGACATGAAGTCGATGTTCTTCGAGTTGACCATGAATGTGATGATGAGGATGATCGCCGGGAAGAGGTATTATACTGGGGCCGCCGGCGGCGAGGAGGAACTGGAGGAGGCGAAGATGTTTAAGGAGATTGTGGAGGAGACGATGGAGCTGAGCGGCGCTACCAACGTCGGGGATTTTGTGCCGTTTTTGAGGTGGGTTGGTTTGAATAAGGGGGAGAAGAGATTGGCGGCGCTGCAAGGGAAGAGGGATGGGTTCATGCAGAAGTTGATTGAAGAGCGGAGGAGGAGCGTGACGGCGGCGCGTGGGGTTTACGGTGAGGGTGGGCATAAGACGATGACGGATGTGCTGCTGGGATTGCAGGAGACGGAGCCTAAGTACTACACTGACTATATAATTCGAGGCTTGATGCTAGTAAGTGAACACATTTTATTATCTGCACTTTAATTACTCAAATTAATACTAGTGCAAAGGAGGAAATTTGCTTATATAAATTAGGACTTTGCTATGGTGACATGCACTTTTCGGTCGACCTCATATAGGATCAGGTCGACCTAATATGTTGTTTCAGTGTAAAAACAGTTTCATGGTGTCTACTTTGGGGATTCATATCTTACAATTGGCTAGATGGAAATTGGAGATTAAAGGCTTGTTTTGAAGCTGAAGTATCCCTCTACACATTAAAGTACTTGGGAGGTCAATAGAAAGTCCAGAAGACCATTTTTGAACCTGACCAAAAGGCTATGCCAAAACTGGGAAACTGCCTGAAAATGGCCAAGTCTGGCAACGTGTTTGTCAAGCCTACTTTGGAGCTCAATTTGATGGATGCGAGTCAAGTCCAGGGGCCTCTACCACGTTAAATTAAGTATTTTTTTTATACAAAGGCAATATATTGGATGAAAGAATGAATATCATTAAGGTTTCAAACAAAAGGCTTGAAGTTGCTACGAAGACTTTTTTCTGGCAGCTTGCTTGTGCTCGAAGTCTGCCAGAAAAAAAGCCTTCGTAGCAACTTCGACCCTTTTGTTTGAAGCCTTACAGATATCCAATCTTTCATCCAATGCCTTGAATTTGTATAAAAACATACCTAATTTAACGTGGAAGAGGCTCCTGGACTCGACTCGCATTCATGCTTCTCGAATTGAGCTCGAAAATAGGCTTCACAAACACGTTTCCAGACTTAGCCATTTCTAGGCAGTTTCCCAGTTTTGGCATAGCATTTTGATGAGGTTCAAAAATGGTCTTCTGGACTTCCTATCGAGCTCTCAATCACTTCAATATGTAGAGGGACACTCTAGCTTCAAAACAAGTCATTAGTCTTCAATTTCCATCTAGCCAATTGTATGATATGAATATCCAAAGTAGGCACCATGAACTGTTTTTACACTGAAACAACAGATTAGGTCGACCTGATCCTATATGAGGTCGACCGAATCCTAAATGAGGTCGAACAGATCCTATATGAGGTCGATCGAATTCTAAATGAGGTCGACCTAATCCTAACTGAGGTCGACCGGAAAGTGTAAGTCACCGTGACATGCATGTCACCGTAGGCACACCCTATAAATTATACGGATCAAATCACTGCATATACTTTGTTGATAATTTTTTTTTAGCAAGAACAGGGAAGAAAATAATTATGCTGGATTTCGCTATCAAATGTGAAAGATGGGCTACTCATAGATGGAACCTAAGAGGAAACCAATTATTGCTTTCTTGGACTTACCTGTGCATAGAAAATTGAGTTTTCTTGGATAAGTTATCCTACTAGAAAAAATGGAATTTTTAGCTGTTTTTTGAACATTTTAATTTATATTCTGTCATTGAAAACAGGATCTTTTTTTTTCTTCAAAAAAACGGCAAACTTGATTTCTATGATTACTAGTCAAACTCATAGAAGCAATTAAGAGGGGCAAATAGTCCTTCCAGTTCCAGACAGTGACCACCAAAAGGAAAATACCAAAATGTATCAATTAACATAAGAAATATTTGGATGCAACTTGCTAATTAAAAAATCTTAGCACTTGTGGGGTTTTCGGTTCACTTTGACACATTGATTTCTCATGCACAAGTCATATGTCCATTAAGATCAAACAGCTTGTTGATGAGCTCGGGAAGCAAAAACATGGAGATGTAGCAAAACTTCACTTTTAGTATCAACATTGAACACTAAACTTTACTCCCAGCTGGTTAATCTAAATTTATTTCTCCTGAGTCTAACTTTGTTCAACAATGGCAGGTGATGTTATCTGCAGGGACAGACACTTCAGCCGCGACAATGGAATGGGCACTTTCGCTCCTCCTCAACAATCCACAGACAATTGTAAATGCCAAGTTAGAAATCGACACCATCATTGACCATACCAAGTTCCTCGAAGAATCCGACCTTCCAAAACTGCCTTATCTCTCCGGGATTGTAAAAGAGACCCTAAGGATGTGCCCTGTAGCTCCCCTTTTGGTACCACACGAGTCCTCGGAGGAGTGCGCCGTTGGTGGGTTTCGAGTGCCACGTGGGACGATGTTGTTGGTCAATGCATGGGCCATGCATAACGACGCCACGTTATGGGAAGATCCCGAGAAGTTCAAGCCGGAGAGATTCTTGAGGGATGAAGATGGAAGACAATTTTCATGGATGCCATTTGGAGCCGGGAGGAGAAGGTGCCCGGGAGAAAGTTTGGCCATGAAGGTAGTAGGGTTTGTGCTGGGATCGTTGATTCAGTGCTTTGAGTGGGAGAGGGATGGCGAGGAAATGGTGGATATGTCTGAAGCGAATGGGCTCACCATGCCGAAGCTACTTCCTTTGCGGGCTAAATGTAGGCCCAACCCAGACATGATTCATCTCCTTTCTCAGCTTTAGTGTATATGGGTTTCCCCACTGCCAGAATTCTCTTTATCTTCTCTATCTCCATCACAAAACTATCATTTTCGTAACCCTCTAGCGATCTCAAAGACATTGATGAGCATGTTCGTAGTGATATTAATGCAAGTGATCAAAGTTATAAAATTCCTTAGATATTGCTAGGATTGGATTCCAAACGATTTTCTGAAAATAACTGCTCACAACCAATCAATGAATGCTCAAACAAAAATTTTAATCGAAGGGTTGAGGTTTCCTATGTTTAGTGATTTTTCAAGATGCATCATAAAGTAAAGGGTAAATACAATATATTAGCCACAACTATTATGAAGCGGGGAATTATAGCAACAACTATGAAAAATCAAATTATTAGCCATAACTATTGTTGCGGGTCATGATATGGCTAACTGTCCGTTACTATTATTGAATTTTTGACAGAGAAGGTCACGTTATCGGCCACGGCAGCGGCCACGTCGGAATGCTTTTAATTTATAACTTTAAAACATAAAAGTTTAGTGAGTATTACTAATGAAATTGTTAACAGATAGTTAACGTTTGGCTAATAATTTGAATTTCCATAGTTGTGGCTATAATTCCCCACTTCTTAATAGTTGTGGCTAATATATTGTATTTACCCTAAAGTAAAACATAGATTAAGCAACGAGATATATAAATGATATGCACTTGATAAAAAAGTTCATCCTAGATTCATACATCTCAATCTCAATGATAAGAATCAATGCATCTTCTACCTGTAACCATATTCCATTAACTAGGATCATCCTAATCGAGCTTTTGCTACATGCAAAAGGAATTATGACTGCTAATGACTAATGAGTGCTTTTAATTAATGACACTAGACTAATAAATCAAACAATGAAGTATGGATAGAACATTAACTATTTACGTCCTCTACGAATCATAGTAACGATCTATAACATTGATGGTCTAGGGTATCAAGCATTATACTCGGTCAAGCATGAATTGTTGATCATTTCATTCCATACACGCCTAAGACAATGACACATCGTATAAGTGTAGTTTCCTCAATGACAACTTAATATATTATTATAAACAATACTATAATAGCACATTACAGAGCATGAAGACATCACATGATTAAGGCATCATAAAGCTAAGTTACTCAAATAACATAAGCATTACATGACTAAAACATCTAATAACATAGATAAAAAAAACTAACAAAGCATCTCATTATGATATAGAAAGAAGATGCATAAAGCATCAATAGAATTCATATCCTTAATAACATATTTAGACTAATTGTCAAACACCGGGCTGCTCAATTAGTATGATATTATCCGCTTTGGGCCAAGCCCGCACGGTTTTACTCTTGGGTGTCCTCCCCAAAAGGCTGCGTACTAATAAGCTTGGTGAACACTAATATACAAGGGTTCCTTCCCTTGTATTATTGATGTGGTACTTGGATTGTCCCATAACAATCCTCCCCTCAAGACAAGGACCATGAACATCGTGTCTCTCCTCAACGATTATCTTGATCCGCCAGACACCTTGTATCGATGGGCTTCTCAGTACAAGGATTTTTCCATACACGAAATTCTCTTTGATCCGCGAGACCAGATGTAGCCCAAACGTGGATCTCTTCTGGATCCACCAAACTAGACGCAGATCTCAAATCCCAAGGTTATCGAATGAGGTCCACCAAACTTGTTGTCCACCGCCTCGGATCTGCCGAACCAGGCTCTGATACCACTTATCAAAATCGGGCTGCTCAATTAGTACGATATTGTCCGCTTTGGGCCAAGCCTGCACGGTTTTACTTTTTGGGTGTCCTCCCCAAAAGGCCTCGTACTAATTGGGCTAGGTGGACACTAATATACAAGGGTCCCTTTCCTTGTATTTCTGATGTGGTACTTGGATTGTCCCATAACACTAACAATACATAGAAGAGGAGGATGGTACCACCATAGATGATTTAGACATCTCCTCAGTTGCACACTCCTATGAATGCAAATTCAGCCTCCCTCGAGTTGAGTGGCTCCTTGCTCAAGTAATAGAAAGTAATTTTGGTGAACATTTGCAACCTACTAAATCCCTTAACTTGACCCACAAGCAACATCTACATCGATTTTCAACGTAACGGACTAGCAGTCTAGCACTGGTTGAGCTCATTACATGACAACCGTGGGTTTCTTTATAGGCTTGGGCTGAAATTTCTTCAGTCAGAGATGCGACTCTTGAGCACACTACACCCGGAGATGATATGACAATTTTTCTTGCAGTACACGCAAGAGTTTCTCTTGCGGAAAAATTTCTGAAAATGCCTTGTCACCTTACAATAATTGCATTGAACATTTACAACATTGACTCGATGTTGCAATTGTGGCCAATTTACAGCAAAGACATCACCATCCATGTCAGGCTACTTGCTAGTAGTGTTAGAAACCGAACAGAAAATTTAGGGTTATCGATCTGGCTGAGTCGCGGACTAGGTCGCTCTCTTTAAGACGTTCGCGGCACTGCCTCGTTATTCGCACAGCAGACTACCAGCCGGTTGTCTCTAGGATAAAACAACCACTCTTTTGATTTGCTCAGTGGTTTTGTGCAGAAAACCGGAGCTCTTTGAATCTCATTCTCTCTCGTGTTTTTGCTCTTCTGAGGTGTATTTAGAGGGTCTAGGGGACTGCTATTTATAGGAGCAGAAAACCTAGAATATTCCCTCTTTCTTTGGGATAAGTCATATTTTAATTAGGGAGATAATTACTCCCATAATTAAAAAATAATCTATTAAGAAAATTAATCCTAATTATCTCCATAATATTTCTTTTATTAATTATCCATCTTAATTTCGTATTATGGAAAAATACTGGATAATTAATTAGGAATTTTATTTATAGGTTTTCAAAGCTATTCATCCCAACAATCCCCCACTTGAATAGTTTTGAAACTATCTCTGAGCATCAACAGTTCCATAAGATCGGGCATAAGCTAAGGTATCGCGAAGATTTGAACTTTAGCGTAGTGGTTACACTTCCGATTTCATAAGGGCGACTCGTAGTTTTAAACCCTATCTCACACAATATAGCACACCGGATATTTTCATTGAGTGATATTCTCTCATAGGCCGTGCATTTATGGCCATGCACGTTATCCCGGTTTAGTGAACGCTCTAGAAACTTTGTGTCTCCAAAGTTCCATAGGGAGCGGCCCCACTCCCACATTCACATAGGTGAGTCTATCTGAAGTACACCCAAAGTAAAGTACGTCACTCCACAAAGAGTATAGATCTCATTAAGAGTTTAACTCAACCTCCAAGGCTTTGGGATTCATGCTTCACTATTCATGAACTTTTCTCAATATTACTCATGACTTGTTATTACCCATTGAACTCGTTTCTTGGGATCTCCAGTCTATCGGGTTGGGTTACCATCACTTGTAATCCATGGTTCGGTAGGCATAAGTCTCATACCTTCGTGGTATTTTTGACTTTTCTCTCTAGATAATCCTTTCGTCAAAGGATCAGCTAGATTTTGTTAGGATCTTACATGATGCACCCTCATTGCTCCTATCGTTAGGAGTTCTCTTACAGTACTGTGCTTACGACAAATTTGTCGTCTCTTTTCGCTCTAGAACCGGTTCCCTTCCTTAGTAATAGCTGCGGTGCTATCACAATGAATCAACTACCGGAGGGATCGGTCTTTCACATAAGGGAATCTCTAGTAATGATCCTCTCAATCAACTTTTCTCTTTACTAGCCATTGCTAGCTCTATAATTTCTGATTTCTTAGTTGATTGAGCCAGGACCGTTTACTTCTTAGAGTTCCAAGACACAACTCTTCCAGTGATGTTTAAATTATGACCACTGGATGCCTTGGAGTCTTCTATAGAGTATTCTCGTCCGCATCAATATACCCTACCAATACAGTATGAAACCGTTGATAACTTATATCAAGGTCTACTGTTCTCTTAAGGTGTCTCATGATCCCTTTCAATAGTTGCCTCACGCAGACTGTCGATGCTAGGACAATCAGTAAGCCTGTCAAGTACCCCCACTAAATCGGGTCTCATGTTTACCAGCTGCCTCACGCAGACTGTCGATGCTAGTATATTCTAACTTTCTCAGATTCTCACACTGTTTCCAGTGTTCTTTAATATTTACACTAGCATCATCAACCATTTATGCAGGCATACTGCTTGTATTTCTTCTAGATCGTAATCTATTCATTGTCATAGTTATATGTATCTCCTAGCTTACACAAGCTTCATCGAGAACATTCAAAATTCTCAAACATGGTTTTTTCATATCAATGATATCATGAGTCTTTGTACCAAAGATCAACATGTCATTCATAGTGCACGTGCCATTCTTAAACTTGTACTAAGTGCACTTATCACTTTCATTAAAACCATGAGAGAGAACTTGATATTCATGCCACTGTTTTGAGTCTATTTCAAATCCTATCATGATTTGTCTAACCATAGACTCCAGAAGCATGTTCAAGAATAACAACCTCTTAGGTTGTCCCAAGTAGATTTCTTTATATAAGTCACCATTCACAAAAGAAGTTTAACATCCATATGATGTTTGTTATTCTACAATATTGGTTAATAGATATCGAAAAAATCTATAATTTTTCCTCTTCTCCTAAAGCCTTAGCTACTAGGAGATCATTATACTCATAAACTAAACCACTAATTTCAGTTTTTCTTTTAGGAATCCATTTATTACCTTGGCTTCATTGCCAGGAGGTAATTCTCAAAGATGTCAAATCTTGTTCGGTTCCACCAATATATTACCCAAGGCTTTACAACCAAGAGGAAACTCTACAAGATTCTAAGTCTTACTAGACTCCATAAATTCCATTTCGTTAATAATGGATTCTCCCATGAATCTGCATATGGTATTGACTCGTAATAACTGGCAAATTTTTTTTGTTCCAAAAAATATCAAAGTGGACATCATTTTGAATCGTTACCAACTTCATACCATACTATACCACCCTGGTATGAGGTGGTATTTTCATACCATATGGTATGTCGTTATTTAATACCAGTCAATACCAAATGGTATTGAATATACCATATAGTATTGACTGGTAATAATTGGAAAAAAATTTTGTTCCAAAAAATATCAAAGTGGATATCATTTTGAAAAACACAATTAATCTGATCTAACTG